CACCGCCACTACGAAAGTTCTCTGCACCAGCGAAGCGGACTCAATCCCAGCCAGTCTCCCCTGTGATGGCACCTTCCCCTAACGCATTGGCTTTGCAGCTCACTTGCGAATCCATCACACTGAGACTGGCGAAATCGATGAGGCGTGCGAGATAACGCCACATAACCTCTCCATGATGAAGGATAACTTCTTGACATAAATAGAGATTGATAGGGAACTGGTTGGTCACTGAGCAGCGTTCTCACCGCTGTACGATAAGGTGGGAGATTTTTACAAAACGGTGATGTAATCCACCAACAACACGGGAGGGGACAGAATCTAGCAACTGTAGCAGGTTTCGCACGCACAAAAAACTGTGCATGTTTCCCTTCTGTGCAAGAAACAGCAGCGTATGGATATTCGGGTGTAATTCCCGCGTGGTTATACGGCTACAATTAATTGTTGTTCATCTGAAACTTAGGGATTCCATTAGATCATGCTACTTTTACATCTAGAAAGTAGAATTTAGAAAGTTCCCCGAAGGGGATTTCGACTAAATACTAGCGACTTTAACTCTGCCCGTTTTGTGTCTCGCTCTAGAATGAACCGAAATCTGCCATCCAACTCACGGCCCCCGCGTTCTTCGACTTCTTAAAAAGTTACAGTCATGACTGTGTGAACACGGTCTCCGCAGCCGCGGCCAACCAACACAGCGAACGATGGATATCCAGACAAATAGAACTCAAGGTACGTTAGGGCATTTCAATTCGTTCTTCGTTTACCGTCTTGCTTTGTGGCGGCTCAATTTTCCTTTTATTACTTATCATCATACATTGCACATATAGATATAAAGGCAGAATGGTATTACCGACAAAGACAAGGGAGGCTGGAATAGCCATTTCCGGCTTATTAGCCGTCGCCAGCCAGCCATACAAAACCTCGAGGTGTGAAAAACTTTGGACTGGATCCCCCGACCTGGTAGTTAGAAGTTCAACGCCCCTAACCACTGAGCCACGGGCTCGTTATCCTGCCCGTTGCGACAGTCGCCGTTGGCCACATTAGTCTGTTTGGCGCATCACCCGGCGGCAAAATGCTCACGCCAGTGACATTTAAGTTTCAGTGCACGAGCTTAGTTTCTATGTCCCTAGCATCTTCGAAGACTTTGAGGCATTCCGGATGTTAACTGCGTAAACTGGCAGGACGATTGTCTGCCCTTTACTGGAAAGTCTCGCAGCTAGTTGCCTTTTCGGGAAAGTTTAAGTCTAATTCTTTTTGACACTTAGTTTGAGTATTTCGCGTTATTTGAAGTCACGAAGGACTTTTTACTGCCCGCTGGGCTTGAGCAAGACTTCGCAAGCCGCAAGACCCTTCGGAAAATAGCACAGGGTCCAAGTTGCTTTACTGGGCTGAATTCGATCTTCCTGAACTGTTAGCAATATAAAAAAACTCAAATTACCGTTTTTTAGGATTTCTATTTACGGAAAGGTCAACATTTTCGTCTATGATCTTTTACACATTCGCCTAACAGGTCCTTTCGACTGCATATTTTCTAGAAATTGATTTGGAGGTTTTTTTCGTGCAGCACCTCTCATTCCTGTTAGCTTGCTTACCATTTCCTTTCGCAAGTGGTCGCTTTCAGCCACGCGCGCCAATGACCTTTCTGTTTATGCTCTTTGTACTCGCCTTCGACCTTGTCGTTCGATTGAAGCGTCAACCAATCAGAATTGCCCACCGACCTTTCCCTGATCGCTTTTCTAAAACTCAGCAATTCGTCCTGGTTTGTGGGTTGAATGGGAAAATCGGAAGTGGCCTAAACACCACGCCGTTGAGACCCTTTCGTAGTCACTATATTCAAGGTTCGATCCTTATTTTTATTCTGCAATTTTTGCTTTTCCCTCCTTTACAGATGATTTTTTTTTCCAAATGTCTATCCCCTTCTCTGTCCAGATCCACATGGAAATGTAAATAGACATAATTCCTTCGGAGTAACTGTGACTTGACAGATAGAGGACTGGTGTAGACGGCGGTTTAAAAGTCTACTGCCCTAACTGTAGACTTGAAAATCGCCAGACTGACTCAGATGACATTAAACCCAGGGGTCTAGAAGCGATTTACTATGAACGAAACGCGATTCTGAGACCATGCATCCTATTCGACTGATTGTCCTGTTCTACTTTTGTTCATGGACCTATATCATCCCTTGAAAAGATGTTGCATGTGTTTTCAAAATACCATTCCTTCTTTTTTGTGCAAACTTTCTACTTTAGTCACTATAAAACGTTATTCTGTTGTTATCCATGCGGCAAATTGGAAGGTCAGTATATTTTAAGGGTAATAGGCAATGCCTTTGAAAAACCTATCGTTACTGACGAGTGCCATGTTCAGGACTCGAGAAATACTGGTAGAAGTACTGGCGACGACGAAACTATCGGGGTTGTCGAAGGGGTTTTGCAACTCACGAAACTCTGTTTGCAATGATTGACTCCATAACACCATAGACAATGACAAAGGATTACGTGAGCCTGGTAGTCATCTGGTGGATTCTAGGTGAATTACTTAGGAAGTCCAGTTTGGGCAGTCAGCTTACTGTATCAGACTTGGTGGATTCCAGACTTTGCAGTAGGTTGCGCGGATAACTTGACCCAAGTGTGATTAAACTCGCGTCGTCCGGCGGGGCCTCGTAGCTCAATTGGTTAGAATGTTGGCTGTACTAAAGCCACCCATCGCGTTGCCGAAGACACTGATCCTGATTTGTGCTTTGGGGCTTAATTCCGACCCTCGCCGGTTCCCTCATCGACATGGCCGACGAAAACAGGGAGACTGGAATGGCCACTTCTGGCTTCTTATCTGTCATCAGCCAACCGCACTCAACTTCAGGTTTTGCGACCCACGACCAATTGGTTGGAATTGCAACGCCCTAACCATCGCCAGAATGTCTCAGACGACATTAAACCCAGGGCTCTAGAAGCGATTTACCGTGGACGAAACGCGATTCTGAGAGCATGCATTCTATTCGACTAATTGCCCTGTTCCGCTTTTGTTCATGGAGCTATATCATCCCTTGAGAAGATGTTGCTTGTTTTTTCAAAATACCATTCCTAAATTTTTGTCCAAACTTTCTACTTTAGTCACTGTAGAACGTTATTCTGTTGTTATCTGTGCGTCAAATTGGAAGGAATCATTACTGACAAGTGTCATGTTCAGGGCGACGACGAAACCATCGGAAACTGTTCCTAGGCCCACATTCGGAGTGTCCTGACTGTTTTATTTGAGGTTTTGCAACTCTCGAAAATCCGTTTGAAATGATTGCCTACATAAACTTATCGACAATGACAAGGGAGACTGGAATGGCAATTTCTAGCTTATTAGTCATCGTCAGCCAGCCATTTCAAGCCCCAGGTTTTTTGTAACCTGTGATCCCGTGATTTGCTAGTTAGACTTCCAATGCCCTGACCACTGAGCCACGAGCTCATTGTCCTGTTGGTTGCGATCTAGTACATACAACAGTAGAAGTACGCTCACCGATCGCGTTACGGGAGACACTGGTCCTGCTTTGTGCTTTGGGACTTAATTTCGACCCTCACCGGTTCCCGCACAGCGGCTGGTGATTTGTGCAGAATGATATGGCCGACGAAGACAGGGAGACTGGAATGGCCACTTCTGGCTTGTTAGCCGTCATCAGCCAACCGCACCCAACCTCAGGTTTTGCGACCCGCGACCTGTTGGTTAGAATTGTAATGCCATAACCACTGAACCGCAATCTCTTTGTCCTGTCGGTTGCGATCAGGAATGTACAATGGTAGAGGAACGTTCATCGATAGCGTCCCTCTGCCACAGTGTTTTTCCTTGCAGTCGAAGTCTGGAGCTCTGACGCGAAATCAGTTAGTTTCCTACACCGAGGCTAAAGCAACGTGATCCTGCCGAAGTCCATGCGAATAAAGTCCTCGATAAAACCCACTCAATGCCATCCGAATGCAACCTTGCGTGATCAGCAGATACTTGTAGTCTTCACACGTGATACGCATTATCGGTTCCGCAAATTCAAGGAACGCAAAAAATCCGTCAGAATTTGCGACGATCATCTTCCCGACCGTGTATTTGATGCTCTGCAGGGAATAATTCTTTGTTTCTCAGGGTTAGAACGCCCAAAACAACAAGTCATTTTGGGCAAAAAATAGGTAAGCGATTCTGACAAAAGTTCCAATAATCCTGAATTTTAAAAAAGTGTAAACTTATCCCCAGGGATCCTCACGACAACAGTCCAAGGAATTGCATCCCTACACCATGCTTCTTTCAGCATTTTATCCTTGTTTAAATGTTTAATGATTTGTGGAGAACGTGCGTCTTCTTAAAACTCCCTTTATGAAAAAACGAGGTTCTTTTCCCTGAATTCTCTTATATTTCGTGTATTTTCAAGAAGTCCTGTGCTTTTTATTATTATTTTGGTATCGAAGCTGGACTAGAACTTGAACATATGTGCGCGGTTATTTTTGGCTTAAGAATCTGGCTGTCTTATGGTGCTACTAGATAGTCCTGAAGAAACCTGACGTCACCAATGGCGATATACTTTTGCCAGGAAGCTCTTGTTTATCCCTGCGCATACGTGTGAAGTGTGAATGACTGATTTCAAATCTTTAACCGCGCGCGGGATGACAGCATAGTATAAAACACTTTATTGTTAGGGGGGGGGTTGTGTAAAACAAGAAACTCCAACGCTCGAGAAACGTCTGACGCAAGGCGGAAACGAACAATTATATATTTTAGTATGAACTGACGCGTCTGTGAGAAAGTTCCAGGCATTAGGCCCACAAGAAAGAGATTCTGGCTCATGTTCGGCCGTCCGTCAGCCGTAACCCTGACCTCTCTTGTCTCTCTGGCTGACTGCTTCCTCAGCCACAAGAGTTACGTGGCACGATCTCTCCTCCCCCCTTTCTTGAAATTTTAAACTGACCCTGCCTTCTTGTTCTACGCAGGAGGCCGTCTACAAACATGAGGCTGTGACGTCAGTTGCCGCCTCCCTCCAATGCGCACCTGACCGCGTCGTGGCCGCCGCCGCCGCCGCCGGCCTAGCCGCGGACCAATCAGCTGCGGGCGCCAATCGATTGCTGCTCTCCGTCTGGCCTCGCGCACTCGAACGTCTGCTGGGTTGCGCGCGCGACAAGCATGCCGCCGCAGTGGAGGCGCGCATTTCCCGCCTGGGCAGTGCTCACGGCCACCTGGCAGAGGCGATGCGCGGTGTGATTGGCCTCAAAGCCAAGCTCGCGCGCTTCCTTGTGCCCTGCCTCGAATCTCAGGCGTCCGGTCGCCTTTGTTTAGGCCGAGCGGAGTCCAACGGACAGTGGCATTCAACCCTGCAGGTGTCGCCGTCGCCAGGGCCGCAACTGCCCCAAGACTCCGGGCTTGCTGAGGTAATCTCCCACAGGACTCCTGGGAGTACGCCGTGGGGGGAAAGTGACTTGTTCTTTCCGATTAGTCTGTACCGCCACCTACAAACCCGACTGGATAGAGTTATTGATCAGTTCTGTCGGTGTACATCCAAAAAACCATCAATCCTGCCTGGGACGTTAAAGTTTTTTGATTGGTCGTCAGGTTGACCTCCCCTGACCGACCAGTCAGGGATCGATTTGAAGATATTTTTCATTGAGGGGACTTCTGGTGAATAGGCGTTGGATACTAGCAAAAAAAGTTTATTATTCTTGACTTTCTGAATTTAAATCTGTCCTCAGAGGTGTAAACCAAGCGGAAAACGCCAATGGGAGGCAACCTATCGGTCACAACTGTCTGTTACTTATGTGCATAAAAACATTGGAGTCGCCTATATCTCGGAGTCTACTTTCGCAGGCCTTAGTAGACGGGGGAACTGGAGACATCTGTTTATCGACTCAGAGCCAGATTCCCGCCTTGTTTACCCGGTGCGCAAAAGTGTTCCCGACCACCCAGGTCTGCAGACCAGCCCCGCGATTGGTTACGAAGGCCTGTGCAGGCCGGTAGAAGAAGGAAACGGCTCCAATTGATTGATTTTCGCCTTTAGACTGATAATCCTGTTGCCTTATTAACACCTCTCAGAATAGACTTAAGAAGGCGTTCGAAAGCTATAAACATAACAATTCATTTATCTACACACCTACTAACAAGGCGATGTTCTGTCAGCTATTAAGGAAGCACTGGTCATCAAGCATATCTGTGTTGTTTAAGGTGACTTCGGAGTTACTACCGGTAGTGCCAAAGAAAACGCAGTGGCGAGTGCGGCGATCGAGTTTCGTGTTTCCACCGAAAAGGACAAAATAATTCCCACTTGCATGAATGTAAGGAATAATAATAATAACCATAATAATAATAGTGTATATAGGGTAATAGGCAATGCCCTTGATGACCCTATTGAAAACGGTGCGTACAATATAAATGTTAAATGCACATCTTAATAACATTTTGTCAGTAACACGTTTGTTTACGGAAGACGTTTTTGCAGTGCGGGACTGCGAAGAGTGCGGCAGGGGGGTCATTTCAATGTACATAGTTAAAGACAAAAGTACTTTTGATACAAAATAATCACGACCAAGGCGAAATCCATTTTTATGGACACAGTTAGAACATCCTGGGCGGCAGAGGTTTCGCAAACACCACGACAAAACTC